TTTTTTTTAAAAAATTTTTACGTATAATGCCGGGGGGGCCCCATTAAAAAAATTTTGTTTTTTTTTTTTTTTTTTTTTTTTTTTGCAGAGCTGAGTTCACTGTTGTCAGAGAAAAAAACTAACAGATAGTTTGACAGAAAATGCGTAATTTTATTTCGGTATGTTTTTTGTACCTTTTATGTCTTGCCCTTGGCTTTTTTTGTTCTGTCAAGAAAATTGTTTTGTTAAATTTTCAACATAAATCTTTGTCATGATTTGGGGTTTGGTGAGGTGAAGGAGAATGCAGACAGGACCCAGCATGAAGATGATGATGACGATTTAATAATAAATCCGAAAGCGCTCCAGCACAGAACAGTTACACGACGTAAGACGAGGCTCAGACAAGATCTCTTGTTGTCGTACCAACCGTCTAGACCCCTCAGGTCTTCTGGTTCTGGTCTGCTCTGCATCCCCAGAACCAAATGAGGAGAAGCAGCATTCAGCTTCTACGCACCACAAATTTGGAACAAACTCCCAGAAAACTGTAAAACAGCTGAAACACTGGGTGCCTTTAAATCTCAACTTAAACCCCCCCTGTTTAGAGTTGCCTATGGTTAAATTAGGTGAGATTTTAATGTTTTCATCTTTATTTTTTATCTATTTATCTATTTTTTTCTTATTTCTTCATCCTTTTTATTGATTATTACTCTGTGTTTAGTTTTTAATGATGTAAAGCCCCCTTGGAAAGGCACGGGTGCCATACCCCCTTCTTGTAAGTGTCCCAATTGATGCCATTTCAACTAAAGTCCTAAGGGTAGAAAAGGGGTGGGGGCTTTAATGTGTTTTATCTTTATTTTTTATTTATTTATTTATTATTCTATTATTTCTTTCTCTTTTTACTGTTTATTCAATGTTACATGACTGTGTTTTGTTTTTTAATGATGTAAAGCACTTTTAAATGCCTTGCTGCTGAAATGTGCTGTACAAATAAAATTTGATTGATTGATTGATGCATGTTAGATAACGGAAACGTTGAATGTTGTGTCATTTCTGCTTCAGCACGGAGTAGCGGTTTAAGCAGAGAGGAGTTTATTCTAGAGGCATTTGTTCTAGTGTTAGGTAAATGTATCTTGAAGGAGAATAGCACTTAAATAAAAGTCCAACAAGGATATTCATTTAGAATTAAAAATAACTCACCCTGAATTACCATGATAGATATAATGTGTCATTAATGAAAGGGAAAAAAACTCAACCCAGACTTTAAGTTTAGGGTCTGGTTCGCAGAGTATGAAGTTAAATTTTTTCCCCAATTATTCAATGGGAAAAAATAAAATAAACTCAGTTAAGTAAAATAAAATTGTAATCAAAACTTTTGGAATTGTAATGATTTCTTTTTTAAAAACAAAACGTCTTGTTTAAAAAACTTTTTTTTAAATTAAATAACTCATTTTTGTCTCGTAAACTTAAACAGTTATTTGCCAAACATAAACTTTTATTTGCACACATCAGGAATCTTTTGTTGCTATTTTAGGCCCTGCCCACGACGTCATGTGAGAATCGCAAGCAAAACTTTGAATCACAAACAAAAACTTAGAATAGCAAGAAAAGATTTCTGACATGTGCAAGAAAAGTTTTACCAATACGTTTTTCACTTCATGAGACAAAAATTTGTGATTTTAATTTAAATAAAAGTGTTTTAAGCCAAACTTCTTTTTGTTTAAAAAAAAATGTTACAATTAAAAATGTTTTGATCACAATTTTATTTAATTGAGGTTAGGTTTTTTTTTTATAGAATAATTGTGAAACAAATTGAACCCCAATGCAGAGGTCTCATTTTCTCTGAAATTAATATTATGTTGTGCTACGAACTGAAAAACATATTGGTTTAAACACAAGGGTAAAGAATTGGTAGTGTGGTTTAATATAGAGTTCTGATCATAATTCATTATATTTTGCTTTTTTCAGTTCAAAGATGCCACATAAAGAAAGACGTCAGAAACAAAAAAGAAAGGATCTGCTACAAGCAGCCAAAGGTGGTGGATTGTTGACCAACTGGGTCAGAACGAGGACTGTAGGTAAGAACAAAGAAATAAAGGTTCTTACCATGATCAACATGCAGTTTTCGGTAGTGAACAATATATTTAATATTACAAGGCAGCTGTTATGTTTTTATTATGTTAAGATGTAATAACTCTAGTTATATGTCTGACCATTTGTAATTCATCATTGTTTATTAAACTCTGAAAGCTCTGTGACTTTCTTAATATTCTGTCCTAAAATGTGCCCTTTTTGAGCACCTGCCCCTTTACTGGTCTCTGCACGGCCCTGGGGGTGACCCTCAAAAAAACACCGCCACAGTTAGACGTAAGCAGCTACCTGACGCTGTCGATCAGCTGCTGATGGTCTTCTGTGATCAAAATGTCAGGCAAGGCTTCGGCCAGAACCTCCACATCCCTGTCGGAAGCGTACTGCTTGAGCACCTCGAACAGCTGCTCCTTCACGTCAGGCTCCTCTCCGAGAACCTCCTCCACCTGATTCGATAAAGACGGTGTTAAAACGACTCACGATGACAGAATGAAACCAGAGCCATGCGAGCGAAAAGAAGCAGCTTCACGCTCACCTTTTTGTTGAACTCCATAGCCTTGTGAGCTCGGCTCTCCCTGATGCTGTCTCCGCTCTGCGACAGTACCCGCATGCTGCTGCTCAGCCGCTTGTTCCGGCGGGCCATGCTGAGCACTCCCAGTCGGAGGGGTCGGCCCTGCGCCGCCTTGATCATGGCTGCTGCCGTTTCATGATGCTTCACCGGGATGCCGTTGACCTCCATGACGTAGTCGTTGACTTTGAGGCCGCTGCGTGCAGCCGGACCGCCAGGCATGCTCTCCTCGACCATCAGAGGGCTGTCCCCAACGATGGTGAAGCCAAAACGGCCATCTGGGCCTGGCGTGATGTCAATCTTAGGAACGGTATGTTAAGAAATTTGCCAAATTATTCCGGATTCTACAAAGCGGAGGCTAAATCTGAAATATTTAGGCGTCGGCTGACCTGTTCGATCCGTGAAACGACGCCAATGCTGGGGGGTACGGTCTTGAGAGTCTGAGCCAGAGCGATGAGAGCTGGTGTGCTGAGGTTGGTCACATCCTGGCCCTCGATGTCCACCACCTGGTCACCTGGCTGCAAGCCGGCAAGGAAGGCACTGCTGCCTTCCACTACGGACAGGATGTAGCTGGGCCCAGTGCCTCCGAGCCTGAAGCCAAAGGCCTCTGGCCAGTTCTGGTTGGTGGCAGGGAGACCAAGGTCTAAAGAACACACAGGAGTTGGAGAGGCTCAAAGTAACATGTTGCTAGAATGATGGATACATAGTGTCTTACAAACATATTTCAGCCCCTTATAACTTTTCAAATGCTGTTTTATTTCATATTTTTATCATCTGTTTTATCTTATTTTATTTTGTTTTATTGACCAACACAGATAAGTGCAGAATTGCGAAGCAGTAGAAAAGGAATGCATCATTTTTCATTTCCTTTTACAAAGGAAAATAAAGTGTGGTGTGTGTTAGTAGTCAACCCTCTTTCTTTTAATGCCTGTTAATCTGACACAGAACCTTAAGAAGAACTGGTGATGCGTTCAGTGTGTAATTTGCTCTTAGTATGTAAGTCCAGCCATCCCGCGAAGGCTTCTGTGGTTCACAGAGAATATCAGCGAACAAAATACATCGTGAAGACCAAGGGCCATGGCAGAGAGTTCAGGGGTGAAATGAGGTAGAAGCGTAAAGCCGAGTTAGGTGATAAAACAACATCCCAAGCTTTTAATGTCTCACTGAGCTCTTTTCAATCCATCATCTAAAACTGGGAAGAGAACTGGAAGGCTTGTCCATTCACCTACAGTATGTGAAATGTTCCCAGGAAGAGTATAATTTATGAAAGAACCAGAAGCTTATAGAGCTGCACAGATCCACAGGATAATCTGCTAAAAGGACAACAGTAGTTGTGCACTGAACACTAAAACAAACCAGGTTTCCAGGTTACTATTATTCATTATTATCATTGTTGTTATTTTTACGTTGAAACATGGCAGCCTCATGCCTTGGGGGATACATTTTGGGGGGCAGCAGAGATGGGGAATGTCGGTCAATTGATGGAGGTAAGGTGGAGCTAACTACACAACAATCCTGGGAAAAAAAAATCAATAACTTGTTTAAGGCTGCAAAAGGGACAAAAATGGACATTATCAGCTTTTTTGGGTAGTGTTCCTTTAAGAAAATGTCTGCTCGCAATAAAACCATAAACGAGGCCTGCTAATTAAGCTCTTATTAGCCTAGAGAGGTGTGAGTAGGTACACAGGTCTTTTTGTTGGAACGACCAAAAAACATTTTGTAAGTCGAACAAATCACAGCGAGAGGAGAAGTTTAACAGAGAAGGAGGTTATTTGTGCCTGTTGGTATCTGGACCACATGTTGAACCGCTGGCCTTCCCCTGGTCACTGGCCTCATTCTGCTGCTGTACAAAGTGTCCCAAAAGAGTCTTCACTTCATCTGTACAGGACATTAATCTGGGGTGCAGCACGGTCAACGCGCAGTACATTTTATAGCAATTTTTGTATTAAAGGAGTACATCAAACCCTAGTCTCTTGTGCCCTTGTTTTTTTTTTGTTTTGTTTTTGTCTTGTAGATTTGCTTAAAATAAACCAGACTGCGGTTCAAATGATGTCCTTGGGATTTTTGTGAATTTCGTAACTTAATCGCCTAAGTAAAGTAAACATAGTCAGACAATTTGAATTCGAACAAGAGAGCATAGTTGCATAAGTGTAAAATTGCATGCAGTTGTTTTATTTCTTTTAAAAGTTTTAGCAGGTCAGACATGAAAACTGACAAAAAAAAGGTTGCAACAGTTTCTCCTAAAAGTCAAGTAGAAAGAGTCTGAATTGTAAATGATGTCATTTCTGCTGAAGGGCAAATCAGATCTCAGTGGCACGCCAGGCTTCAGACCGACTGTATGAAACATAAATCAAAGAATCAGTGATGGAGCAACTGCTGTCAGCTCACCAAAGAGAATGAGAAGAAAACTGATTTAAAATAGATAAGGACATCATGGATGGATCCTCTATTTGCCTTCTCGTAACACTGAGCGGTACTGTCAGGGCTTGTCTTCTGTTTTCTCCACCCTTCGTCCCAGATACACGCTCTACTGTAGCTCCTCTTCATCTTCCGTCTTGCAAACGAAGCCCTTCAGGAATACCGTCATACAAAATAGATCAAATCAGAGAAACAAGACTTACAGAAATCTTTGGCGGCGCTCCGGGTCCCAGACTTGCTCTGGCGCAGGGAGAAGCGGCCCTTTCTGCTCAGGAAGCGCCTCATCCTTGCCCGGCTTGCGGCAGGGCACGTTCCAGCCAGCCTTTCCTCACGCCCCCCGACTAGGGGGTCGACGCAGCCAGGGAGTGCCCCTCGGACACCCTCAAGCTGCTCCTCCACCTGACCTGACTCACCTCCTCCCCGAAGCCTCTACCCCACCTACACGGATGCTGGCCCCCCCAGAAGGTCACATTTGTGGCTTGTGAGGGCCAATTCTTCCCTCTGCTCTGAATCAGCAAAGCAGCTGGGAGAAGCTGAGGAGCTGAGAGCGTCTGAGAGTCGGGCTCTCCATCCTGGGTGAGGCTGTCCAACCTCAGCCTCGGTCCAAACCCTCTGGCTGAGCAGCGAGCATGAAACTGGGACACAGTAACTTGGTCCTGAAATGGTTCATTGCAAGGAAAGGTACTGCGAAGCCCCATTTTTCTATAAATACCTTCGCCTCTCTTTCTCTCTCCCACCCTCTCTCACTGTCTCCCTCTGTTGCTCATGTGGATGAAGCCCTCTCAGAGGGCTGAGGAGTGACCCAGAAACTGAGCCGTGAAGCAGCCCAGCCAGGGACGGTTCTGATTATAGCGTCTAGTACTGGAGCACCAGTTGGAGCCGTCGCCTGCAAGATGGGCTTCAAGGTTACAAGCACCAACTGGAGCAATATTTTTCCCAGCAGAAGTTCTAGCAAACAAACAAAACAAAACAAAACAAAAAACTTAGAAACAAGAGCTGTAAGAAAATAGCATTTATTTCAAATGAAATGTGCTTCGGCTAACACATTTTACATTTAAGCAGCTGTGTGATATGCTAGAGGACACAATACCTCTGCAAACGGGAACACTGTATCATGGTCGGCCTTGGACAAGCAGCCCAACCTGTCAGCGTTTAAAGGGCACCGCACTTCAAATCCGAGATAAAAAGTTCAAAAACGTGACTGCGGTTGAGGCAGGGAACTGGGAAAATATCCCATGCAATTATAATATGCAAGGTTTCCATTACAAAATCTCGTCCTCAGCACTTGGAGGATTTCAAAACATGCTGCACGTTCGTTTAAAAAAAAAAAAAAGTCACCTTTGCTTTTGAGGTTATTTATCTGAAAGTTCAAACAACGATTCAGTGGATGAGAATTACAGCACCTTGCTAAAGATGCATCGAAACCAACTTCACTGGGATTTTATGTGATTGAGCAACACATAATTGTGAAGTGGAAATTAAATACAA